CACCACAACCAGATGAGTCAACTTGTGCACACGAAATAGGACCAGTGTCTCCTTTCGGGAAGTCTTGCTTGTGAACTAATGCATCCAATTCGCATACTAACAGCTCCTCTGCAGTGGCGTAGCGGTAGCTCCTCACAACGGTTTCCTAATCTTCTGCTTCCTCTTCTGCAAACGAGCAAAGCACCACCAATCGCATCACCGACATTGGATCAGCCTTACACTTTGGACCTGTAAGTGCACACTACTCTGAGTAAACATTCATTTTTTTTTGCTTTGCGTAATGCATAGCATTGCATCGACTGCCTATGCGGAAGGTGGAATTAGTGGCCAAAACCATTTGGATGCGAAGCGACGATTAACCCTCCGAAGCAGTGCGCCGATGCCGCTTCCTCGGATCATGCCATTTAAGTGGACGGATGCCCAAAGTTAGATCAGCAAGCAGCGCAATCGTGCGAGATGTGGAATTATTAGCCCTTGGGCGGGTGTGATGACAACTAAGGAGGGGGTTGAAGCCACGTCGACTGCGAATGTGTTGAGGCCATACCCACGCGGTACGGGGATGCGTGAAGAATGAGGCCAGTGAGCCGCATTTCAGCGCTACTTAAGCAAAACTTTTGCAACCTGACTCAACATAATCTCGACAAGCGTCTCATCGTTGGCGACGTTACCTACTGCGAGTTCTACAATACCGCATCCGTGAGGAAGTAGTACTGCATTTTGCCGTTGAGCCACCTTAACATTGTCCCAGTTTGGAGTCATCGCAGCCGGGAAGAACTTCCACATCGACAGTTAGGGCATTGTATTCTTCATTACTCATTTCAGACCTACCGTAGATGTCAATGATCGTTACCGTGTACTGCGTGTAGTGAGAAGGTGAGGCACGGGCAACGTCGGTGCAATAACTGCATTCCTTGATATCACTCGATTCTTGCTTCCCACGACGAAGCTGGTATTTTGGAGTGGAAGTAATTTGGAGGAGCTGAACCGCCCACTAAAGCTCTTTTAAATCGACTCACACATGTTTACGAGGGCGCGAGCTTTCACTTGGTGGCCATCTAACCCCATCATCCAAGCACAGGTAGGCTTGGAGGTTACAACGGAGGCACCCCTTTCTTCACTAGCCACTGCTACTCTACAAAGGACAAGAACACTCCTAACAAAAGCATACTACCACGTGTGGTTGGCGGCTATCGTCGGGTGCTAACACGGCGGCACAGGCATTAGCAGCTGATGGACAATATCAGTACGTTCGCGATGCACCTTCTGATCCACTGTGTCCACTCTATTTGACGAGTGGACAGTACTGAGTGCTTAAATGAAGCCAAAGTCACCTCCTTTT